GCTTGCGCCCTTAATCCGGAGCCCTACTCCCAACACCCCAAAGCCGGTGCCCGAAGCCCTAAATCCGAACCCCACCACCCCAACAGCCAAAGCGGTTTGGGTGTATAGTGAACCCCAGAAAGTTGGAACATGGATTGAGGATGATTCGTGCTGGGATTCCCTCTACTCTACCAGTTTAGGGCTTATGAGGTTTAGGGTTTAGGGTTTGGGGTCTAGACCTTAAGGGCAGGAGGATAATGATGTTCCAACTTTGTGGCTTCCACTGTAGGGTTTAGGCCCTAACAGGTACTTGGAGTGTCGCGGGACTTAATACGCAGTTATAAGAATAGGTTTATAAGTATCATAACCCCTATCAGGATCCCTTTCAGGGTACTCATAACTCTACTCTACTTCATAAGCACTTACTAAGTCCCCCGACCCTCCAAGTACAAAGATTGTTTTCGCGATCCTAGGCCATAAAGATGTTGCAGGGTCTTGCACGGTTTTGGGTTGTGGGGTACTTGATCCGCAGTACCTGACACCCTAAACCCTAAACCCTAAACCGTGGGTTTGGTAATCATCCGTTTTCATGTCAAGAGTGCGGGTGTTGGCCGGTTCGGCTTTAAGTGTTCAGGAGTTTAGAGTTTGAAGTTATCGTGTAGGAACCGCCCTAAACCCCAAACCCTAAACCCCAAACCCTTCGCTCTACATCCCATAGTTGTAGTCTGGCTGCAGTCACTGCCAGAGTGGGCTGCAACGCTTGCGTATTCTATCGCAGCCTTGCTGTTCCAACTTGGGGTTTAGTGCCTAGGGTTTAGCTTAGACCACGTAACCCCTGAACTGCCACATGTGTTTTAAAATCCGATATGTCATACAACTGGCATGTTTTTACTCGACCGCTCTTGGGTGCATGTTCAGTTTGTTCCTTCTAGTGTTATGCTCTTTCGGGGAGAACCCTAAACACTCAGCCCTAAACTCTGTAATCCTTAAACCCTAAACTTCAAAAGCCCTAAACCCTAAACCCTAAACTCTATAATCCTAAGCCCGAAACCCGAAACTCTATAAGACCTAAGCCCTAAACCCTAAACTCTATAAGACCTAAGCCCTCTAAACCCTGAGCCCTAAGAACCACGCGGATTCTTAGGCCCCAAGCGCCCCGAGCTTCCTCTTGCTGCAGGTGACTGTCTCACTCTCCGCTTCCCGCAAAACGAGGTCGGCCAGCCTTCAGTTGTAAAAGTGACGGGTTTAGGGTTTAGGGTTTAGGGTTTAGGGGTTTAGGGGTTTAGGGTTTGGGGTTCAGTGTAACAGTGTAGAGGGTACTTCCTTAAGGTCGAGAAGAGCCCGAAAAGGGTTCCTTCAAGGGTTCCTACAAGGGTTCCTATGGGTTCAAGAGGGTTTCGGGTTTAAGGTTTAAGTACAAAAAAGAGCCCTAAAAGGGTTTAGGGTTCATATACCCTATAGTGCTTCATAGTATAGTTGGTATAGGGCCCCTACTTTGCAAGCGTCATGTGGTCCAAAAGGTTCTTTCTTTCAATAGTTATAGTTCTAATATGCCCTTACGCAACCCCTAAACCCAAAACCCTAAATTTTAATCCCTAAACCCTAAAGCCCAAAGCTTCAATCCTAAGCACTAATGAAGCTCTGAATCCTAAACCCTAAGCCCTAATTCCTAAGCCCTACAGCCTAAATAAACCCTAATCCCCAAAACTCTAAACCCTACGCCCTAAACCGCAAGCCGTAAACCCCTACCCTCTACGCCTCGGAACCCTTGTCGCCGGTAGCCTGCAACCCTTACCCTCAAAGGACTCATATTTTAAGGCGTTTGGGCCCCAAAACCCTACTATATAAGGCTTTTGGGCTATTTGGATGCTAAGGGTAAGTTGTACACCTGAACCTTGCGTTGCAGCAGTCGCCCAGAGGTCGACGCAGGGTGCAGGGTGAGGAGTCTTTTGGGGCCCTAACAACCAGAATGAAGGGCTTTGGCGTAGTTCCCCAACCACCCAACCTTGAAACTTTTTGGGTTCTGAAAATTTCAGTAGTAGTCTGAAAGTCTAACCTTTTAGTTCCCTAGCTTATTACAATATATTGGGGAAGTAAGTAAAGTGAAACGTTGTCGACGAATCCTGTCATATGATCACGCCTCCTCCGGGCCTTCCGCCGGGGAGGACGCCGGCTCGTCTTGGCACGTTTTGGGCTGCGCTTCAACGCCCTGAAGTCACCGGCACGTCCTTTAAGGGGATTGGTGCCGCGAAGGCCGTGGGGAAGTTTGCGATGCCTTTTGCGTTGCAAATCTCGCCAGAGACTGGCAGCAAGCGCCGCAGCACGCGTCTGCAGGGGTTTGCCCCGCACGTAAGCGCAGGAAGTCATCCGCCAATCCCGGCAGCAGCGCCCGAGAGGCCCGAACATCTCCGAGCTTCCGAAGCTCGGGCGCCGGACTTGAAGACTAGCGCGGTGATGGCAGGCAATTGGCTTGCACAAGTCAGACAGGTCCTTCTGGGTCGTAGTCCTACCGCTCCAGACGGGTGGGGAGCGGTGGAGGCGGCAGCAACTAGCCAGTACAATCGGGGTTTAGGGTGTAGGGGTTTAGGATTTTATAGGGTTCAGGGTCATTCCAAACCCGCAAGACTCTAGATTGCAGACCCTGATCTAATCACTCGACTTAAGAGAGACAGCCTCAATATATGAAGCGTGACCTTTGTCTAGACCCAAAGAGCCCAATACACCTCAACTAAGGAAGATACCTCAAATTCTAGGGGCCCTCATATTACGATTTAAGAATTGATTCCTTAATTAAGAGGTATTGGGCTCTCTGGGGACTGCTGCACTTCTAAACCCTAAACCTCTAAACCCCTAAACCCCTAAACCTTAAACCCTAAACCCCTAAACCCATAAACCCCTAAACCCTAAACCCTTGAACCCTGGAAATACGTGAGGCCCGTCTCCGGGCTTCTTGCAGGGCTCCTGCATCACAGCCACGGAGTTGGACATATCCTCCTATAAGCCCTACTTGGAGGGTCGGGGGGGCTTAGTATGTAGGGCTCCTTAAAGGAATCCTCAAAAGGGATCTATAAGGGTCTTAGGGTTTAGGGTTTAGGGGGGACTTAGTAAGTAGATGTTAAGTAGAGCTATAAGTACCCTAAAAGGGTTTAGGGGCCAATACCCCCTGAATTAAGGAATTATACCTTAAATCATAATATGAAGGCCCCTTATAATCTAAGGTCTTAAGGTATATTCCAGAATTAAGGGGTATTGGGCTCTCTGGGTACCTGGGCCCTAAAGAACCTACCTTCTTTTAGGGTTCCTTATTATGATTTGTTTGCACAAGCCCTCAAAAGGTAGGTTAAGCCCGAAACCCTAAACCTGAAACCCTCAACCCTAAACCCTAAACCGTAAACCCTAACCCCCACCCCCAAAAAAAAAGAAAAAACAAAAAACAAATAATAAAATAAAAAACCTACAGAGAGGACCGGGACCGATTCGCGATTTGCATCCGCATCTTCGCCGCCGCTCACCAGGTGCTTTGGGATCTCCGGTTTAGGGTTTTAGGGTTGAGGGTTTATTGTTTAGGGGTTAAGGGTTTAGGGTTTTAGGGTTTTAGTGTTTAGTGAATACCCAACCTCTCATGTAGATTGTTGGATTCTTCGGGCTTAGTCTAAATCACTTAAAAGCTAGCTGCTAACCCGCAAACCCTGAGCCATAAGCCCTAAACCCTAAACCCTGAGTCCTAAGCCCTACCTTAACCCCAAATAACCTACCTTGCTAAGGACTTATATAAAGAAATCATAATAAGGAACCCTAAAAAGGCAGGTTCTTTAGGGTCCAGGTAAACCCTGAGCCCCAATTGGAGCTCGACAGTCATAGTACTTACTCGTGGCTGTTCGGAGCGCATGGATCCTATACCTTAGTTCCCCAATATCCAACCTTTCGAAACTTTTTGGGTTCTTATCATTTAGTAGTAATTCGAAAGTTTAAGCTTTTATTTCCCTGGCTTATTGGGGAAGTATGCTTAACATTTAGAGCTTAAATCCGAAACCCTAAACCCAAACCCCTACCCCCCCTTAAGGGGGGAAGTAAGACAGACGGCGTCTTGTTGCCGAAGGCGCAAGAAGCCTCTTACCTAGGAAACAACATAAACCAAACTGTAAACATCAGACAAGAGGTTGGTTTAGGGTTTAGGGTTTAGGGTTTAGGGTTTAGGGGTTGTGCAATGCAACGTATTCAAGATGTCAAATCAACTTGGCTAAAGCTGCATGTGTTCTGGAGAGATAGCTCTGCTAACCGTAAATGGCAACTCTTAATCTATGATGCAGTTATTCGCATGGCCCAATCCCTCGCAACGAAAGCAGGCTGTCCTTTCGAGCGGGTTTTTTTGCTTGTCCTGCCTGTCCTTGCCACCTCGCGCAGCTCTGCCCGACTTTTCATCAATGAGTTCTTCCTAGTGCCACGTCTACTTTGGATCGGCCTGTGTCTGGACAGCGGCGCTAACAAAAGTGGCATCCTCAGCGCAATAGCTGACGTCATCACGGGGTTCGAGAAGCATCTCTTCGAGGAAGCCGAGAAATCCAGTCGGCAAGGGCAAGCAGATGCGGAATCTGAGGATGACGAAGCACTCGGAGCAGCAGATGAGGCATGAGCTCCAGACCAGAGAGATCTAGAACGGGCTGCAAAGCGGCGCAAACTCGCCCTGGACAAGAAGCTCACATCCCTGCGCACCAACCAACCGCAGATTTTCTGCGATGAGGGATCGCTCCCGGCAATTGGCATGCAGATGTTCCAAAACCGGCATCGAGCTGTAGGTCTATATGACGAGGGTCGTTTCCTGTTGCGTGCACTCTCTATTGGTGAAGGGTCCGGCTTCAACCCGGCCACCATGAGCAAGCTTTTCAATGGGGCATCGTGGAAGCGGTCTGTGGTGAAAGACCAAAACCGCTTTGTCATGGCAAAACCTGTCTCTGCTTGGCCATGACATTCCACGTTGAAGAATGGCATGCCTGTTTAGAAAAGGACGAAAAGCTCTGGGCATGCAGTCACGCTTCCTCATGTTCCACAGTGCTCCCCGGCTTGATAAGGCTGCTGCTGTTTTGGAGCAGGAAGTCTACGATGTGGAACAACGTGACTCGCAGCCCACGCTGTCGCTTCCCGAACCGTTGCTGCAAAGATTCGTAGACATCCTGGCAGCCTCGGATGTTGCTCACTGCAATCGAGCAGGCGATTACGATCGACAGCGAGAATACATCCCCTATTTCTTTGCTACCGATTCCCTCGAACTGTTCACGCAGCATTACGACACACAGGTGATCGCTCAAGAAAGTTCGTATCTGGCGAACCCACAACTCTTTAGCCGGGCGGGTAAGTTGAAATCATTGCCCTGGCGCCTTGCACTGTTGCTTCATGTCTGGAACAACGCATGCACCAAAGTGCAAAACAGCGATGCACTATGGACCCGCAAAGTACCAGCGAACCTCGTGCAGCTCTCAGGGGACATATTCGAGTATCTATCTTGGCAGTCTCAGGTTCTGTCGCCCAACAGCGACTTGCTGGGCTTCCTTTCGTCCTGCAACCTGCTCCAAGAAGCATCGCAGAAGTTCCCCTACTTGACTGTGTTTCTTGAAAAGAAAGAACTTCCTTTAGATCAGCCGGATGCCGGCGGGGACGGCGACGGAGCAGTAGGTTATTGTATGGGCTTGAAACAATCCATTTAACGAAGTCACTGACCTCCAAGCTCAATGCTTTCCATCATCGAGGTTTGCGAAAGATATTACATGTAGATACCACTTTTGTAAACCACGCAAATACTACTGCTCGACTGTTTGAAGCAGCGACACAAGCTGCACGAAAGCCGGTTGTCCCTTTTGACCAAATGCTGAGCGCTAGAAGAGTCAAATTAGCAGGTCACAATTTAAGATCCCCTGATACTGACCCCTTGAGGCAAGTTAGCTACCAACCAGGCAGTGCTCAACCGTACGAGATTGGTCGTAGAATGGTGATGCCCGCAATGTCGGGGAACTCCGATTTCAAGGAAAAAATATTTTTATGATTTTGATATGGTTTTGATATGATTTCAGGAATCCTTCCGGTTACGATTTTCTTACGATTTCCTTTCGGTTTATGATTTTGTTACGATTTGGATACGGTTTGGAT